GAGCAAACCGACCGGCCAGTATGAGTTTTGTGAGCGCGATAATGCAATGAATAATAATAATAGTAATAATAATGATTTCAAGGGTGGATGTGGTCTGTACTCGTGGTGGGGAAGGCAGCTTCTTGCGCAGCGGTCGCTACAATTACGCTAATGATCCGCCCGGGTGGATCTCTCTGTGCTAATTGAGTGACGATAAACTGCGGACAAACATTAACTTGCAAGTCGAGGCAGGAGCTCTATGCGTCTACGTTAAATAAAATACCTGGCATATTTAAACATAATAGCTCGGGCAGAACGCTAGAGCCACCCCCTACCCCACGGTAAACAAGTCTTTTTGATATAGGAGCACCAGCAACGCTTTTGAAAACAGTTTACCCACTGAGGGTCGTATAACAGCTGGACCACGGTGAAAACTTTTCGTTTGAACACACGCTGAGCACAGACGCAATATGTTCTGCAGTCAGACCCTTTGTAACTGCTTCTGTCAAATTACACACGCATTGTTTATTGAATATCTGCACAAGATATGATAAAATCGCGATCATGAAGTTTTGTTAGGAAATGCAATGATTGTTTGTATTTAGGTTTCTCTAAACTGCTGCCCCAGTTTTTATTGTAAAATTTTGATTTGGATATTTTAGTGTATAATGGATACACAAGGATTTCTGTTAGTGTTCTGTCTGACGACAGGTCCACATATTATGAACAGGATCCTTCCATCCTCTTCAGGTTGTCAGGGACCTGCTCATACATATATACGTTCTTGGTAGATGATCAGAAGTGGTTTGCCATTGCCTTCTTCTGTGTGTGTGAGTGGAGTAATTGTTGGGATGCCACGGAGAAACCGGGGAAGCCCCCGGAGGAAACCTCCGTGATGCCTAGACCACGGCCTTGCCCAACACAAGTTATAAATCTGAGCACCACCGGGAATTGAACCCGGGACCCCAGGATTACAAAGCTAGTGTTCTGACCGCTAGACCACCGTGGCGGCCAACACAAGGATACAAATACATAATATTAAATAAATCTAGGCATGTAGAATATATAGGAGTACACAGATAACCAAAACAGTTTGTTTAATGGACATGGTTTTGAAACGGAAGGACCAAAAAGCACAGCAGCTTTTGATCGAACTAGCAAAGATTGGTCAAGACTTACGAAGTACGAGAACAAGATACATTTGAATGGAAATAACCTAGAAGAAGAAATGGCTGAGGAGAAGAAAATGGGATGAAGAAGAAGAGAATACGAAGACTAAAAACAATATATAAAGGCAAACAAAACGAAGACAATAAAAAGAAGAGGCTACAGAGAAAGAGAAGACGAATATTGAAACAAAAACTATAAGAAAGTGGATGAAGGAAGTATAAGAAGAAATGAAGATGAAAAAGATCAAATAAGATATAAGAAGGAGAGGAGAATTTCGCTCCGAACTGAAGTTAGTATCTCCTAAAATGTTAAAAGACTCAAAATTAGTCAAGAGGTCGTGGTTTGAATAACTAAGAGATGCAGAGTCTAACACCATCACCACTAAAGCGCTACGAGTTGTTATGCACCATTTTAGAAATGACAACGACAATAAAACATTATCAACATCAAGTTATTACGTAATTCGGAATTTATCCTTATGAAAGAAAGTATTAATTACATGGTGTCATAGAACCGAATGCCCCTCAGCTCCTCAGGGATGCTGTGACAAAACCTGATTTTACCGAATCAAACACGATTGTGTAAAGTACGTAACAGGCAGATGTGAAACAATTAGCACCTATTTCCATTTCAGTGAGCACCATGTTTATTTGCTTCAGATTTAGTTATTCGAATTTGGAAGGCGTTTCACAGTTAACGAAATTTGCTGTTAGGGTTAGCCGATGACAATATTTAATTACATCAGATAATCGTAATTTAATAACCTAGTTAAGCCGGTCACAGTCGCCGCGCGGTCTGAGGAGTGGGCTTGGACACTAGGTATGTGGGTTCGAATCCCACCTGAGGCATGGTTGTTTGTCCGCATTTTTCTGTGTTGTGCTGTCCTGTGTACTGGTAGAGGCCTTGTGATGTGCTGATCATTCGTCCAAGGAGTCCTACCACATGTCTAATAGATTAAATGAATGAATACCTCGAACCTGCGGGTAAAAGAGTATCGAAGAAGAAAGAGAGAATATAGAATAATAATTTTCTAGAAAGTGATGAAGAACAAACTCTACAGAGTGGGAATTTTCTTCTCCTCTTCCAGTTATGTGCGTTACCTTAAAATGTAGTTAGAGTCAGTCTATAGGAAACATAACTTTTAAAATTCTAAATTTTAAAACATAATCAATAGATAATATCTAAATAAAACACTCGAACAATGATGGTAAGACAGCCTTAGTATCATCAGTTCCTGATGTAACATCTGCATCGATTAGATAGCAAAGGTTACCGACTCTCTCTTAATTTAATCTTAAAAATTTAGTAAAATAATTAACATCGTTAAGAAGTCAATCAGCCTCCAATTCATTAAAATCTTCATCACTGGTGAAGTATCGGACTACCCTCACCCAGATTCTAGAGGTGGCCTACATAACACAAACTATATACTTAAACAAGCAATTCTTATTATAAAATTTTCTCGGGCGATCAAACGCGATCTATATCCTGATGCTGGGGACAGCTAGTCTCCGAAACGTTGGCATTTGACGCAACACTGACACAGCTGATAGCCCGTTTTATAACATTCATGTTTCGTGAAAATTGTAAGCCTTTCTTAATTAATTCTTATTCCTCAGCTTTTCGGCCATAGGTTTGGTATTTATAACTGTTATTCTTTCTTGTCTGTCAACTGTTTTCTACAGTGTTGAATATAATTAATCATGTGTGAAACATTTAAATTCTTGATCAAGTCTTAATTTGTTTCATGCCCAAAATTGATGCAAACTGTTGTTCATTTAATCAGACTTGTTTATAATATGAGCCAATGTTTATACCTGTGAGAAGGAAACTATCAAGAGGCTGGAGATAACTGTAGACTATTATATAAAGCTTTGTCAGTTGTACTCTTCACCAAATTTCAATTTAATCAAGGACAGTGAATTGGGCGATGCACGGACTAGCTCGACAGGGACAGGAGAGAAATACACCGTGCCCGAAAATTTTTACATGAAATACCAGTCAGGAGATTTAGGTTTATATGAAAGGACATAAATAAAATATATGTTAAAGGAAATGTAAACAAACATGTGGACTGGATTCGACTGGCTTATGATAGAACCAGTAGCGAGGCTCTTCCGTGAGCTCCGGAGAGGATGTGAAATTTGAGTGTCTGTTGTACGCGGCCCTTTTTAAGGGTCATAAAATTATATTTCAGAGGTTACGTAATCTCCCATTCTTCTACAATGTAACTTAATATGTAATAAGTAATATAAAAATAACTAAATACGAGTATCTTTATTTCGCGCTGCATTTATTATTTAATATATTCTTAAATTTGTATCTTAATAAAAGTTTCATGCCTTTCACACGTGTAATGTCTTACAGCAATTGAACATTTTACACTGATCAGAGCTTTCCCGCCTCACACGGCCTAATTGAAATGACACGTTAACCAGTACAAAGCTGGAAACGGAAGGAAGAAATAAGAAAAGACAAAAAATTAAAAACCAGCTATAAAAGAAGGAATAAAATAAAACAAGAGAATTTCGTTAAATAAGGAAGAAAATTAATAAATCTGGGATGAACAGAAAAGCTCCTAATGAAAACCCAGTGTTGCAGATTGGTATTTTAGTTCCTATAATATCGCAACGACTCTCAAGGCGTGTGAATGTAAGACCCCAGTTCGTGATGATGTTCAGTTTAAAGTTGTACCCCTGAGGGATCACACTGGTGTATTTTGATTGGAAGCTGGACGTACGGTGGGAGGGGCATTTCTGTGTATTCTCCCGTTTTTGAATTCCTTTTTATACTTCAAACAGGATTTATATAATCAGCAATAAAATGAGATGCGAAATGTGGCACGTTTCTAAAATTTAAAAAGTTTCATAATTATTAAGGTTCTTACAACCGTATCGTTAGGATAAATTTATCCATGTAATATATGAATCCTTTAAAATAATTATAAGTCGATTACTACTTCGTACATCTTGTTATCGAATGTCACGGCCCAGTAATTATCATTCATGTTTCGTATTTCGGGAATCGTGGGTTCAAATCTCTGCTAGGAGACCCTCTGTCCTGTTTGATATGTTTTTTCTCAGTGCCTGCAGGCATACAAATACCAAATAGTACGTTCACTTCAATAACGACCGCTTCATTCCATTTTTTCAAATTCCTTGTTCATGAAAGCTCATCATTCGGCGCTATATCGAATAAACCACTGACATCGTCGTTAAATAAGCCAAAAATGAGTAAAATATATTGTATTATTACAACTACACAGTGAGCAAACTCATGGCTACATATTTCCATTCTAATGCCAGTCTGTGAGCGTAAGTATTGTCAGTGCAACCGTGCGTGAGAAAAGGCTCCGCGCTCTCTAGACGTATTTTGGAAGATCAGAGCTACGCTCCGGCAGACTGCGTCCAAAGTACGCCCACTGGATAAGAGGGCGAGTGGTCTCCAGAACCGTTCTGGAAGAGATATGGGAGAGAACATTCCCAACTCCCTTACTGAATATGGAAACACGCCCATTCACTTTATCGAATTTGTTCACAAAACGTCAAATTTGTAACGACGGCGGATCTTAAAAACTGAGAGAAAACCCTCGTTAATAGCTACGGGATTCCTCTGTCGGTCACATTAATTTATGATGAAATAACATGGTCAGGGGCGAAAGGAGTTCTGTTGCTCTTCTATTTTAATAGATACGTTATATTAAATTTTATTTAAATGTTATGCTTCGTCGTGAAAAAATTATGAAATGTGAATCATAGACTTATATATCCTTGACCTCCAAAATACTCTCGCCATGTGGCAGATTCCAACACTGCCGACGCCGCATGCCTCAAACAAACACAGTGACTTACCTTGATTACAGGTGTCGTCGATCAGCTGGAGTGTCAGCTTTATTCTCGAGGGTTCTCTGGGATCTGCATGATCTGCAACCAATAAACAAGATTAATGAATATTGTAACAGTGACTTACAAACACAGTTTCTATTGTGATGGCTTTCTTTTCATATTACGTCCAAAGAAATTAATTCTTACAGAGCCTAGATTATTCAGGGGGAGGGGAGGATTAAAGGGGGTCTACATGGTTTAAACGAAAATTTAATTTAAATTTTAAATTTTAATTTAATTTACCGAAGCTGTTGTGAAAGTTAGAACTTTTGAAAATAAAGGAATTAATACAATCACATTATTTAACGTATTAACATTATCAGTTGTTGCTAAAACTTGAAGTTTACGACAACGGAACGTTATTACTATCCGTTTGAAACCTTTAAAAATAGTTGGTATGTACTGTATTAAATTTTGTATATAATCCGCCTCTGTTATTAGTAAATCTTCAATATCTTTAGTAGTGTATGTATGTTAATGTACTTACGTATTTATCTTATTAATGAAACAAACTAGTGAATTACAGGCTTTTGTTAATACTTTCTACAATGGTGATGATGCTCTCTTGGGTTCAGGCAATGTGTGGACTGGCCAGCGGTTTTGAGAAGTTTATGACGCCAGAATCCAAAAGAACATCATCGTCACTTCCGTGGAAACCTTAAATCTTATACACTTTCCACAAGTTTCGCCAAAATACATTTCTTCTCTACTACATCTGTTTATCAGAAAATGTTTGTTGTAAATTCAGAGGGACCAGACTTTGTATTACAAACTGATCGACAGATTTAATGTACAACATACGATATATGTCGAAATATGTGTTGGTAGGTTGGTTGATTTGTTAATGATCATTTTTATTCATCAGTGCCTGTTATAACGTCAAATATGTCCGTTGAATGATTCTAAAGTCGTGTAAGAAACAAGATATTCATGGTAGAACATAAACGTTCACTGTTTTATTAAGGACTTTAGATATATAAGACTTGAGGCTTTCGAGGTGACTAAATGTACAAAATCTTATCGGGCGACAAGCCGCGTCAAAATGGAATCTTAGTCCAAAGTTTCGGAGACACTCTCTGTCTCTATCATCAGGGAATGTGATGAGTCACTGCAGTTCACTCTTTATGTCTACCAAAAATGGTACCCTTTCATGTATGGCCTTTGAACAATAGGGAATGCATACTTTAGATATTCCACTCATTGTTGATGGGTAATTTTCTAGTACAATAATAAAAAGCTATTGTGGCTTGTTTTACTCCCCAGTAATATGCACAGACCTCGACAGCTTCTTGTGTTATTTGGTTTTTTCCTTTATTTATCTGGATTTTTAATCGGTCCTGCAGCGAAAGGTGCAAGAGGTTTCATAGGTTACATCTATAATATTTATAACTTTCTTGATTTCCAGCCCAATTCCTCGTTGCAGAATTGTAACTCCAAGAAGAAGCAGAAGTCCTGAGACTTAATTATGCAATTCTTCGTCTTCCCAATCTCCCCCGCCCCCCACACAAAGCCACAAGTCGCTAAACTCAGAAGAAACAACTCTTTCTCCAACGCCAATATGTTTTAACGCGAGAAAGCAACTAAAAATAATATGGGTTCTTCTCGTCTTCCAACTTTCCAAAGTGTTTCTCTCATTAATAATTTCTAATGCTAATTGGTCGAGAAGAGAGAAGTGAAGAATATTTATGCCAGTTTCCCTTTATAGAAAGAAAAAAAATTCAGTTCTCTTCCGTCTCCCAGCATAGGATCCATTTCATTGCTATAACGTAAAACTTGCTGAAGAAAATATGTCGCATTTCCAGAAACTTATTTCTTTCGCTACAAAACAAGAATAAAAGCTAAAGATAAATCTCAAAAGATTACTGAGCACTTCTGCATTATTTGACATCCATTTAGCAACATCGTGGCTAGGAACTGCAGCATTTCTCTGAGTAAAAATACAAACAGCGAATCCTACTATATTCATTAAGTATGACGACATCATATGTCGAATTCCGGGCCGGAGCTGTCAATTTTAAACTAAAGGAAATATGATTAATAAAGCTTGCCATTTCATCGGCCGCGAAAAGTGAAACGTTTATTACTTTAAGTTTCTTAAAATATATAATAAAATTCAGGGCAATACACAAAACTTTATTTGGATGTTAAAATTTAAAATTTAAATGTTAAAATTTTAAATTTTAAATTTGCGCCATTCATCACTATAAGGATGTTACATTAGAGCGCTTTCATTCATTTCACAAACATGACGCATGTAAACCTTAAATTTAAGTTTCTTATATGCCTAGTGTTGCGATTTAATACAGATTTCTATATGGTGACTAATCTAAGACTAGAACATACTAAATTAAAATTGATCCATAGCTCTATAGCCCCATATTTTATTACAAAATGTAATGGCATTTATTAGTATATCAGCGAAATCTGTTACTAACTTATGACCAATATTTATTATATTCTCCATTTTTCTTTTCGCTCGAGATTCCCATCATGCCATTAGGACTTAGCTGTTGTAATTAGGCATGCGCCTATTCTATTGTTTTCTTTTCAACGCCATGGTTTTGCCCAAATATTTTATGCAGCAAAATGAAGAGATAAACTCAACTGCACATTGCCTCCAAAATAAAAGCCCAACTTTCGACACGATTCTACCCAAAGTCCATCCACTTCCGATCATACAACCTACGTATTTCCGGTTCATAAGATCCATCTTATCTTATATTATCCGCCAATCTCCTTCTTGGTGCTCTAAATTAACTTTTCAAAGAGGTTTTTCATGCATAATTGTGTTGTGTTTCTGTTTTTTCCCCATTCTAACCACATGCTCAACCCATTGCAGCTTTAGATGTATAAAATAAGTTCCTCGTTGTGTCACAATCCAGACATTTTCTCTTCATGATGATAACACAAACCAATGAAACTTTAAATATGTTTATCATGTTGTAAACATAGGTAGCCTACTATTAGGACTAATAATTTTATTTTACAATTTGTATTTCTTTGACGTCCTAAAACAATCCACGCAAATAGGGAGTGTGCTGAATACGTGCTGGATTCTTGGCAACAAAGAAAAGTCAGTGAAGATATTATGCATACCACAACATACCTGTCATTTTTGGACTGATGCCATCAGAGATAATTTTTAAGCTACGGTTCCTACTGTTACACGATTACAACTCTGATCATGCAGTTTTCCCACCTCCTAGAAAAACCACGACAGTGGAACATGGGTCCTCATAAGTTATTCTTTACTCGCGGGAAAACGTGAACAACACCTAACAAACGGGATTGTTACCGTAAAGTCGCATCTTGATATCTCTGCAGCGTTGACGACGCTAATTAACTTGTGGAAAGAATGCAAGTTTCTCACAGCGCCTGCAGTGAGGGGGGGAACGTAACTTATGCGATATCACCTAAACTCTTGTGTACAGAGCGGCTATTAATCCTAATCAAGCTCACAATCAAGGAGGCTGGGCCGGACCCTCCCACCCCCTCCCTTGATCTCTCGAGTGTCACGAGTGTCCGAGCGGGCGATGAGTCATTACGCGGCGCAGTAAATTATTGATGACGATGATGATGATGTGCGAATGAATCGATCCGATATGCGACATGTTAAGTGTAGCATTGTACAGTCTGTCAAGACATCGAAGACAAATGCGATGCCAGGGCTGCACTGCACGTGTCGACGCAAATTAAACACTGCGCACTCACTTATGTAGACTACATGTTGATAAGATAGTAGTCGCTCAGCTGGTCAAGAGATCCAGCGCCTTTTACGGAATCGTTGCCGTGTTGAAAAGATCCCACCACTGGTCCCTATCCTAGATCAGATGATCCAGTTCACAACTTCATACCCTTTTTTCCTTAAAATCCATCTTTTATCTTCCCATCTACGCCTAGATCTCCTGAGTGGTTTCTTTCCTTCAGACTTCATGACTATAGGCTATTTTTCATGAGCTTCTCATCTCCCCCACACATCCTACAAGTACCACCTGCCTTAATCTCATTGATTTGATAACCCTAATTATATGTGCCGAAAAGTAGGCCTACAAAATTATAAAGATCTTCATTACGTATTTTTTTCCGTCCTCCTATTACTTTCACTTTTTAAAGCCCAAACATTTTCCTCAGTATGCTGTTTTCAACACCCTCAAACCTATTTCTACCTTACTGTGTGTTTCGTTCGTTATGTTTTAGACACTGGAGCTGGGAAGATAAAGGTATGAATTGAGTAATATCAAGATTTCAGTTGAGTTTAATATGTTCTTAATTTTTTATTTAATGAAAATTGTCGTGCCCCGTTATTATAATTTGAATTCTGCTACTTTTTAGAGGATTTATTAACTATTTTTATTTTATGATTTTGTTATGCATTTTCTCCAGCGTCCTCAAAACCATACGAGTCAACCATTAGAATTCACAATCATGTTATTAAAACAAACAGGGTGACGCAGCGCAACACACCTAATTTGTGGGGGGGGTTTTCCACCTGGAATCTGAACTGGCAATTCTTTGTAACTGGGTTAATGCATGATTTTCGTCGGTCATTCCAAGGATATTAACCTGAAAAAAGCGCATCCATTACATTATACAGTACACAGTCATCCTCTTATACGATTCGATGATAATTAATATCTTCAATTGGCAGAGCACTGTTAAATAACCCACGAATTAACAAAACCACGATAAAATTTTATTTACATTTATATATTTTTCGAAAATGTTCAGAATTACATACAAAGTCTTAAACAAAAGTGACGTAATGAGACTCGTAGTATCTTAACAACTGAATGTGTCAAATTCGCCTCGAATTCGATCAGAGAATAGCGCACCTGAAGGCGGCCATCCTAATCACATTTTTCAGTCCTTCACCCTCAAGTTTTACAGAAATTCCCAGACATATATGATAAGTCAAGTAATGGAGGAATAGAACTCATATCAACAAATCTCAGTGATACATTGAGAGGAACTTAGCTGAAGTCTCTCTGGATGACGATAATCCATCCTACCATCGGTCCCCCTCACAGGCCACGCAAGTA